GAAGTGAATGGCATTGGCGTGCGTGTGGAGTGCAGGATCCGGAACGGGCAACATACTTCACAGTGTGAGTCATTCCGGGCACATAACTTGAAACAGAAAGAAAGAACACAAACTGTCCAAGCGTTCCCAGCGATGTTTGTAACAGCCCAAACCAGGCGTCTATGGCTGAGCATGATTGCTTCGGGTAAATTCAAATATCACCCCTGCTACCTTTGTCAATGGGTTTCCTCATCATAACCGGTAATGTTCTTTTGTCCACCATTCAGTGCATTTCTTTAAAATAAGCTTTTCTATCTAAATAAAATTACACTGAAATCTCTTGAGTTGGTAAACAAAAAGCTGTTATGCATCTAAATGACTTGCCACATCTTTCTGAGACTGTTAGAAAAGCCTATTAAGCAGTTTTCAATAATTTAACAACTTAGATGTGGGCAGATTTCAGAATGCTAAGAGTTTTATGTGCAATCTTTCTGCTTAAAGTTTCTTCTTGTTTTCTTACTGTGAACTAGTGCTTAATTATACTAAGCACGAAACTATACCTACAAAGGAAACCTTCCATGGTATTTTAAGCCAGAGAGGAAATTTTTAGACGTTTCATCTTCATGTCTCCTTTAGGTCTTATCTGTGAGTCTGGTAGTCTATAAGGTTGTGCCCAATTATATCAGGGTTGATTTGCTATCTATATCAAACTAAGTATACAAAGCCACAATATAGGCTTTCGTTCTTATCCTGATATTGCCTCATTAGCTACAACATTGCACAATTGTATCAGCAATATCTGACTCTTAGCTATAATAATTCACTAGAATGATGTCATTTAAGCTGTCATGTTATAAATAGGAGGTACCTCAGCCACTGTACTTTATGGCAATTGCATTTTTATAACTGCTTTGAACTTTTTTATTTTTTTCTTTTAGGAGTCCTATGAGTTTCTAATATGATACAACTCCCAAGGTGTCTTTGCTTCCTAACAGTAATTCAGAGGGTCAGTGCAAAGCCTACTAACCTACACCTTCAGGTCATAGATACTTTTGGAAAGGAGTGTGCAGATAAGATTTTTTATCTTGCAATATTCTGTCATCTTTAAAAATCCTCCTAGTGATAAGGGTATAATTATATGCCTGCTGCATTTTTTTGTTCCTGCTTTTATTCTCTTTCCTCTGCTTCCCTTTCCCCTGCCATTCCCACCAGCACTTATTATTCCTTATGTGAGCTATAGGACTGATATTCTGAACTAAGGGCTTCTTCAAATGCAATTCAGGTTTTTTGTGTGTGTTGATAGTTACTCTGTGTGCTTGGTCCCTTGCTGAAATCAAATTATTGTAATCTGTTCAGCTCTAGAATTTATGTATCAGTCTGGAAAGATTAGTATTTTACAATTACCGTCCATAACTCTGCCCTTGACTATATTTAATAATCTCTCATTTTAGCAAACCTTGCTATTACTCTTCCTGCTACCATTTGTTCATACTGAATGTTGCAGGATCCAAAAGCAACTTCTCATGTAAATTGGGTTTTTGTTTGTGCCCTGTCCTCAGACAAGAGGAAGCTCAGCTTTCCCCCAGGTCTCACCATAGCCCAATATCTTCTCTTTTCTTCTGGGAACATCTGCTAGTCTAAGATTTGTGTTTAGGCACTGGCTCTCAAGCTGCTGAATCAGCCTTTTCTCTTTTCTTTGCTTCTTTTTCTTTATTTTTCTTTTCCTCTTTTCTTTTCTTCTTTTCTCTTTTCTCTTTTCCTCTTTTCTCTTTTCTTTTCTTTTCTCTTTTCTTTTTCTCTTTCTCTTTTCTTTTTTTTTTCCCTTTTCCTCTGTCAACCTGTGTTTTGGCTCTAGCTAACTCAGCTGACCAGACCTGCAATCCCATCACTCCAAATATATATTGTCCCCTTACTGTTAAAAAAAATAAAAGAAGTCAAAAACAAAAGGGGGGAGGGGGAAGCTTTCAATTCTAAATTTCTTGGAAGTTGTTCTAGCATCAATTTTGCAAGTTCGAGTTTCCACAATATTTCTGAATGGGAGGAAGATGCAGCCAGGAAAGGAAAAAACACCTAGTGAGGACTGATACTATTGCCTAAAGTATATCGCTTAAAAAAGAAAAAAAAAGTCAAACAAGTATGGAAGCTTAAAAATAAAATCTCTCTACAAATGTTATTTCTGTTTTTCCCCACTCCTAATTGCTTTGCAGATTTGTAATTCACTGCTTGCAAAGGTTCCTCAAACTTGTTCTACTGGTTTCCAGAAGCAGGCAGACTTGTTTCCCTAAGCCCTTCAGTATACCCATGGCATTAATTTCCGAGCCTGCTCCCGCAGCGAATCCCGGGGCGCTGCGGAAAGGCAGCGGATGGGCGCTGCGCCTCGGAAAGGCAGCGGATGGGCGCTGCGCCTCGGGCCGGGCCCAGCGCGGTGCCCGGGACGTGCAGCTGAGGGGCTGTGCTGAAGCCACTGCAGCGCTCAACACTCAGGCCCATGGTCATGGAGGAGCCCTGGGGAAAGCGCCTTCGTGTGAATAATTCTGCCAGCCCTGCCAAGTCATGTTTTAATGACATTTTTTTGCTCCCTTTTGGCCCAATCCAGGGAGAGCTCTGGCCCTCTGCCCTCACACACGCTGGCTGCTCCGGGGCCTGCGAAGGGTCACAAGTGACTCCAGCTCATTTTTTCACCTGTTAAGGCCCACGGGACTATCTGTTGGACTCCGGGGGTAGAAGGAAGGTTGAAGAGCATAGCTTGAAGAACTCTTGGTGTAAGTAGACGTGGTGCCAGTGGCCTTTACGCTGGTGTGGCCCTGCCTATAGGCAGGGATGTGCCACTTCAGCCTGCGAGGGGCAGGAGAAGAAAGGGAAAAGAGCCCCTCGTCAGAACATTGTGTGCAGCCTGGTGAATTCTCATCTGAGAGGGGCCATCTCGGTGTAAAATGAGGGGGAACAAAAGGCTCTTGGGGCTGCGCCCTT